TAAGGTATTCCTTAACTATTTGTTTATCAATCTCCAGCTGCAATCCTGTGCCACCCCCTCTACTTGTACTTCCAATTTGTTTGGAAGTTCATAGTCTGTCTTATAGGAAAAGACTGAACTAAAATAGGAATTGAGCACTTCTGCCTTTTCTTTGTCCTTTTGTTATCATTTTTCCATCTCCATTGCAGAGCTCTGCCACTATATCTTTTCTTTGTAAGATGTACATACAGAGGTCCAGCAGTTCTTGTTTCCTATTTCAATCAACCCAGACTCATCAGGTTTATGATATAAAACAATGAAAAAATAATGAATCATATGAAGTACATAGTAAGTTTTCAAGTGAAATAATAATAATAAACAACTCATCATCAAAAAGACAATGCAAACCACAACATATTATTTGCAAAGCAGTGCTGCTTATAAAGTGTTCTGTTTATATACCACCTCATAGTGCTTAAAAATCTCCCTGGGTGGTTTACAATTTAATTATGCAGACTACACATTCCCCACCACCACCAAATGGGGTACTCAATTTACCAACCTTGGAAAGATGGAAGGCTGAGTCAAGCTCAAGCCAGCTACCTGAGCCCAAGATCAAACTCAAGTAATGAGCAAACTCTCCACTGTAGTACTGCAGTTTAACCACTGTGCCATGAGCAGTTTGAAGCTTCAGCTAGTGACAGGGTTTATCTCTAATTTTACTGTATTGTTGTATTAATTATATTATGCTGTTTTGTTTTTATGCACATTGTAAACCACCCAAGGAGTGGCAACATTAATGGGGTATAGAAATGGAAACAAGCAAACAAACTCCATTTTGCCAACAAGTATAATATTATGGTTGAGCCTACCAATCTCATAGCCAAAGAGAACTACAGAAACTGGTGGCATAAGAATAGCACACCAAGCATGGAAAAACACAGTCTACTGAACTGCTGGAGAGCTCAGTGGTTTAGGTCTCTGGCTGTAAAGCCTGAGGTTGGGAGTTCAATTCCCCATTGTGCCTCCTTGACTTGATGATCCACAGGATCCCTTCCAGCTCTGCAGTTCTAAGGTAATGTACTAAAAAAAAGACGGGATTGAGTTTCTGATTGCTTTATTGTGCTACTCAGCATTACAAGTCGTATATGAATGATAACCAACACCGGGAACGGAATGTCAATGCTTCCAGGTACTGTTAGACTGCAACCCCTTTAATGTATGACTATCATCCTGGTGGGGATTAAGGTGACTGTAGTCCCATGCATCTGGGGAGCAAAAGATTAGAGGTGCTTAGCCTACTCTGACAGAGAGCAGTTCTTTAAGCTTTCAAGAACTGTCCCCTCTTTGCTCTTTCTCCTTGACATATTTTTAACAGAACATGAACCTAGAATCCTAATTAATCACTCATGTGAACAAGTCAAGGACTGGTTATGAGCTCTCATGTCCCCTGTTTACAGACACACCTCCTCCTTATCAGGGTGCTGGAAAACATGTTCCCACATGGAGAGAGCAGCATTTAAAGCGATCCTTCAGTGTGAATAAGAACAGGAGCTGAAAGAAAACAAAGGACTTCAACATGCATTTGCTAACTCAAAAGATAGGTCATGGTTTGATTGGCCATTTCTTAAGCTGCATCCTTCCAGTTAGAAATAATGATGCTTGTGTTCTTTATCGAATGTACAAACAAAGTTCAGTTTTGATACAGTTAAATCAATTAAAAAAATTAAAATAGCCTGACCTCAATCCCAGGGAGAGAAAAAAAATGTTTGCTTTGCTCTCTCACATAGAGTTAGCTTGAATTTAAGCACAGTAACAATACATCAGACAAAATGCAATTGAAGGGACTGTTTGTACATTTCTTTCCCCTTTAGAACAGTTACATAAGCCCATGCAGAAGCCTGGCACAGACTTTCATTTGCAACTTGAGTTGTGTACTCTGATCAGCCACATCTTAACAGGATGTTTTTGATTACTGGGCAGAGAGAGCTCGTATACTCGCACAGTTAGGGACCAAAAGTGAAAGCAGCAGCACGAATCTTGAAGCAGAACAGGCTCGGACATTTTTTAAATGTAACCTTGTTCCATCTGAATTATGAAGCTGGAATACACTGCATCAAGCCAAGTAGCATGGCTTTGTCTGCTCTGAGCAAAAGAAGTTTTCCAAGGTCTCAGAAGAGGGCATTCCCCCCCCCCACCTTACCTTCCATCCTGCAATTCCCAGATATGCCAGGGGTTAAACTTGAGGAACTTGGCATACATGTATTCTAATAATCAATGACTTCACAAAGGGTAGAAACACTGAAAATTGCTCCCCTCCCCATTCCACAACTTCATACTTCATGCACTTCTACATTATCCAGGAAGAGATTCAAGACTGCTGAGTTACATTTGAAACAAATTCACCCTTTTTAAAATACGTTGTTTTGCTATTTGAATGTTTTACTAAAAAGCTACTGTAGTCACCTAGTAAAATATCACCATCTTCCCACACCACTCCTATTCCTCACGGTGTGATTTATCCTAAAATCCCCTCTTATTTGGCAAAACAAGAACTCAGTTCGTATTGGTTGAATAGTTAAATGTGGATGGTATTAACTGTCTGGCATTTTTCTTTGGTATTTCTGTTTTCATTTATATTCTAGATGGGGGAAACTTCAGATTTCTCCTGAAATGTAGGACAGACAACCCAGTGCAAAGGATGCCAATAATCATCTTTAAACCATTTCAGGCACTTCTTTCAGAAGGTACAAAGGTCCGTAAATTCATCACCAAGTTACAATGGGACCTTTACATGGAATCTAGGCAAAATTCCTCTGCTGTCACCCCACAAAAATGCTTAAATGAAATACCTTTTATTCTTTGTGTCCTGTAGAAAACTTGAGAACAACAGTCATTCATTGTATTCTGGTAATGACAATAGAACATGAATGGGATCCTGCCTCTCCCTTTGGACCAGACTTTGTAGCAAGCCAGAAAGAGAGTCTTCATTTTCTCAGAAACCCAGTATAAAGGGAAGAAACTGACCTTACTACCCTCCTTGTCCCGAGTCATTGAGGCATGCAGAGATGGGGGATCAAGAGGCTCTTTTCCTGCCTGTACACAAGCTTTGGGGAAGGTCAGAAAACAGCAAGAGATGTTTGTGCTGTGTATGAGCATCCCCAAACCTGACTTCAAGTGAAATAAGCCAACACTGCCCTCCCTGCAATTCTTATCATGTGCCAACAACATGGGGAAAGGAAGGAGGGAGTACAGGGTGGGGTAGGCAGCACAGGGCAGATATCACAGGTATTACTGGCTACTAAGCCCAGTAAAAACGTGCAATTTA